CAGCCTCTCTGCTCCTATGATGATGCTTGGCCTGCTGTGTTCATCCAACCCTGCACCTTGTTGTCTCTTATCCAAACTCAATTGGCTGTGTTGTGGAGTGCTTAAAGACACCTAATGTGGGTCAGCTATTAAAAGACCAAGAGAACTGGAGATGCTGGAATCAGAAACAAAAACAGAAATTGCTGGAAAAGCTCAGCAGGTCTGGCAGCATCTGTGGAGAGAAATCAAAGTTAACGTTTCGGGTTCAGTGAACCTTTCTCAGAATGAATAGGTCAACTATAAAGTAAATCAAACAACAGCTACTGATCAGTTCAAGTATTCATACAGAGAATGTATTCTCAGAATGTTCCAAGATGCAGCTCAACATTTCAAAGGATCTCTCATTCATTTATACCATTCTTATGACATTATGTCATGAATCTTATGTTGTTGTCTATGTTTCCAGCTTCATGTATACACGGTTAAGTACAAATAATTCACCCATGACCCTTCTTTCTCCATCTTTTGCCAACTCCTAGCACTAAAACATTCCATCCCTACTTGACCTAACGTTCAGAAATTTCCATTTTCTTCCCTCATCGTCTTTCCTCAAAAATATTAAAATGACAATGTCTGAATCCATTCAAACTTCAAGAGAGTCACAGAGTCAAACAGCACAGAAACAGACCCTTCAGTCCAACTTGTCCGTGCTGACTAATTATCCCAAATGAAACTAGTCCCATTTGCCCATGTTTGGCCCATATCCCTCTAAACACTTCTTCTGGTAGCTCATTCCATACCCACAACATCCCCCAGTTGAAAAGGTTGCCCCTTGGGTCCCTTTTAAATCTTTCCCCTCTCATATGCCCTCTAGTTTTGGATTCCCCTGCCCTTGGAAAAAGACTTTGGCTATGCATCCTATCTATGCCCCTCATGATTTTATAAACCTGTATAAAGTCACCCCTCAACCTCCAACGCTTCAGCAAAAAGGGTCCCAGCCTATCCAGCCTCTCCTTATAACTCAAACCCTCCAATCCCAGCAACATCATTGTGTATTTTTTTCTGCACCATTTCTAGTTTAACAACATTGTATCCTGCTTTACTTCACTGCTTTTGCACTCACATCTGAGTCTGATGGCCCATGCCTGAAGTAATCTGTTAGTCCTGTGTTTTTTTCAGTAATTCAGCTCGAAAACAGAACACCTTGTTTCATTCACAAATTCATTCCTTCAGCTCTATTCTTCTCACTGAGGAGACTTTTCCCTCAATCTTCCTTCCTCCTATTTCCGCTGCATTCGGAGGTAAGATCAGACAAAAGTAGACATGAGTAAATGGCATTATCGCTGGACTGTTAATCCAGAGAACCAGGTAATATTCTGGGAATCCAGATTCAAATCCCGCCACAGAAGATGGTGGAATTTAAATTCAATAAAAATATGGAATTAGAAGTTTAATGATGATGATGAATCCATTGCCAATTGTCGAAAAAACCCATCTGGTTCACGAATGTCCTTTAGGGTAGGAAGCTGCCATCCTTACCTGGTTTGGCCTACATGTTACTCCAGACCCTCAGCAATGTGGTTGCCTCTCAATTGTCCTCTGAGCAATTAACGATGGGCAATAAATGCTGGCCTCTCCAGTAATGCACTCATCCTGTGAATTAATTTTATTAATAGGAGGGTATGAACAAGCATTGGATGAAAGAGGTGGATGGCAAAGAAGGAGGAGATGGGCAATATGGAATTCCAGAGCATGAAAGCACAAAATAATGAGATGGACATTCAGTTAGAAAAGGTTAAAAACTTGCAATTAATTCTAATTTGCTTCTGCAGTAAGTAGCATTAGGATATTCCTATTTTAATTTTTTTTCCCTCTAATCAACATGCTCAGGGGTGTTATGGCACACCTCTGGAGCAGATGGGACTTGAAGCCAGGCCTCCCTGTCAATGGGTAGGGACACTATCACTGTGCCACAAGAGGGCCCAGAATATTTCCAATGATTTATAAATTATGGACTGAATGACCTCCCTCATTTGCAATCAAGCAATGAGTTTCACCTAACACTGATGCTGCAGTCATTTGCTTAATTACTGTATGGGGCAAATTGGCTTGCACCCTCTGAGCCTAGTCTTAGTTTTACTTTATATCCCTCCTGTGGTGCTCCTTGGGATGCTCTATTACATTGAATGGGCTATTGGTTGTTCTCTAGTTTTATTATGCCAATGGTTTGTTGTAGTTGGGGGCGGAGAGATGAATGAAGGCCTGAGTTGAAGGGACACAGATTTGAAGGGTATTAGAGGTCTGAAGGAGGCTATAAAGATAAGGAGTAATGAAGCCAAGGAAGAATTTGATGAGGTGATCAATAACAAATGAAAACTTTAAGTGGAAGTGTTTGGTGGAGAGGTACAGGAAACATTATAAATTAGTAAGTGTGATGGGTGCACATGGTAGGATCTTACTAGACCATCTGCAGATTATGAAGGAAAAAGAATGAGACTTCAACTGGAGAGTATTGGAATAGGTGAGTCTGTGAGAGACCAAGTCATGGCCAAGAGTTTAAGCAGCAGATAGGCTAAGGTAGTGATGGATATGACTGATGTTACTGATAGGAATGTAATTTTTGTTTCAGCACTTTGAAAAAAGTGTTGGAGTCATGCATTAGTAGTGAGTCTAAACCCAAAATCAAAATGGCTTTGTGAATTTATTAAAGCTTATGAATGGAACATTCTCAAGCCCTGAACATTATGGGCAACAGTGAGAAATTTGGGAAAATGAAGAGAAATATTGAAGAAGGGCCTTCTCAATGTCAAGATCGAAAAGTAGCATTTTCCAATCAAGCCTTAAAAGTCAATACGAGATTCTTGCTACTGAGCAAAGAAAGAATTGTTAACTGGATTACTGGTCATTAGCACCCTCATTCCTACTGAATATCACCTCAATAATATACCGTCTTCCATTCTACCACCTGCTGGATAGGAACTAGATGCCATGAATTCCCAACATGAATGTCAGAGCAGGTACCTGCTGACTCCTTGCTCCTCTAGCACCATATAAGACACCAGTCACTAACCTCTCAGACTCTGTGCTCAGCAACCACAAGCACACCCTACATCCATGGACACTGGCATCTGGCCTGCACCAGCCTCACCACATCATAGCTCTTTCTGTCATATTGTTTACCATGTCCTCGTGAAATGAGAGGGATTAAATAGAATGAAAAAGCTTGACACAACTGTTAGTGCTGCTGCAAGTGGGCGAAAACTGGTGAGGTCTCCCAAGTGAGTGAGTAGGCGGCACCGAGGGCAAGCAAGGTTTTTGGTGGGAGGGGTTGGGGTGGGTAAGAATGAGTAAGGGAAGACATTACATGCAAGAGTGAGGGTGGTAGACCATGAGCCTTGGTGGGAGATAGGGGTAGTAGCAGAGATAGTGTGACAGCTACAGGAGACCAAATAGATGTGATGAAATTCACTTCAGAATTAGTGACTATTCCCAAGTATGAGCATGGGATCTTCTGTCACATATCTGGAACCCTTCTAACCAGCTCAAGATGCGCAGTTTTTACAAAGGAATTTATTTATTTTGAGGCAGATAATGGCAACAGTAAGAATAAGAGTTTAGTATAAATTTATTGTGCTAGTGGAGAGTGAAACAGGATTAATGTTTCGAGTTCAATGTCAATATCAGTTCTGAAGAAGTAATATCAGGTTGAAAGTGTTAACTCTGTTGCTGTCACCACATCACCCTTCATATGTTTCAATACGTTTGCATTTCATTCTTCTAAACTCTGATGAGTACCCAACCCTTCTCATAAGAAAATTCCTCCTTATTCAAGGTCAATCTGTTGAACCTTCTCTGGACTGCCTCCAATGTTAGTATGTCTTTCCTTAGATAAGGGCGTCAGGTTTACTTACAATATTCTAGGTGTAGTCCAATTAGTGCTAAGTACAGTTTTAGCAAGACTTCCCTATTTGTATACTAGATTGCCTTTGAAATCAAAGCCAACCTTCCAATTGCCTTCCCTATTACCTGCTGAATTTGGATGTTAGCTTTTTAAGTTTTTTGCACAAGGTTTTCCACATCCTTGTGTGCTGCACTTATTTGCAGTTCGTATCTGTTTAAATAATATTGAGCTCCTCTACTCCTCTTGTCAAATTGCATAACCTCACGTTTTCCAATGTTATATTCCATCTGCCGAGTTTTTGCCCATTCACGTAACTTGTCCATATCCCTTTGCAGACTATTTGTGTCAGTCTCGCCACTTGCCTTCCCACCTATGTTGGTGTCATTGACAATATTGGTGACAGTACATTAATTTCTCTCATTCAAGTTATTCCTATATATTGTAAGTAATTGCGTCCCCACCACTGATTCCTGTGACACTCCATTAGTTATAGGTTGTCTTCTTGAAAATTTTTGCTTTATCCCAATGCTCTGCCATCTATTAGGTAGCCAATCCACTGCCCTGTCCTTATCAAACTAACCCAGAGGAGGTACAGCGCTGTTTGCTGACTGAGGGAGTGACACTCCCTCAATATTTCCCACCAATGACATCACTAGGCCAATTCATTCATCTTCCTGACAGTCCCCACTCTGGTCTGCACAGCACGCAAGAACCTTGAAACTGTTGGACAATTGCAGGGCCTTTAACTGTCTCCCCCCAGGTCCCCATACCTGCCTCACCTGTAATCACACCCACTTGTTCCTGATCACAGACTAAATTTGACTTACCGAGGGGGTGGGAGAAACTCCTGAAGCAAAGTGTCCAGGTAACCTGTCCCCTCCCTGATGTGACGCAAACTCTGCAGCTTGGACTCCAGCTTCTTAACTCGGATCCCATATTCTTCAATCTGCAAACACTTAAAACAGATATTTTGCTCTGGATTACCTTGGTTTCCAGCAGCTTCCACATGCCCACATCATCCATCCTGTTATCGCAATTGTATTTGTTTTGCTTATTAAGTAATTACACTAGATTCCATGCCCTTTATGTTTACACTTTGAAACAGTTCTGCAAGTTTCTTAGCTGAAGCTGGATATGTAACGCAGCTGCTCCTGAGAAATGGAGAAGATAGTTAGAATTCCTAAAAATATATTATCTTAAATGTAAGTAATTTAGTTAAAGGTTGCAGACCAAAAGTGTTCTTTTAAACACATAAACCTCTGAAGGGGTTACCTGAATCTGAGAAAGTTTGAGCTCAGTTATATGATGAATCAAAGAAGGGTTTATCGGGGGTCTCATGATCAGGAATTGAAGTCATTACTAAATCAAACCCTATGTGCGATAGAGAAAGGGAATTCTCTCTGGTTTGAGTACTGTAATGGAATGTTGTTAGGATTAATGGGATTATAACTTTAATACATGTTTTTAAATCCTTAAATGTGTGTTATATGTAAACAGAGATAGTAGGAACTGCAGATGCTGGAAAATCTTCATGGCTCCCTTCATGGGTCTAGGCCCGAAACGTCAGCCTTCTTGCTCCTATGATGCTGCTTGGCCTGCTGTGTTCATCCAGCTCTACACCTTGTTATCTTATATGTAAACAGTTTGTTTATCAGTGATTATTCATTTATTTTGCACAATAAATGCTTTTCTGTTCAAAATGAAATTGGTAATTTTGCATGCTTGTTTGTCAGTGAGAGACCATCTCGTTAAAACAGAATAAATCTATCAAGCCAAGCATCAGTCTGAAATCTGAATTGCCCAGTAATAGCATGTACTGGGATGATAACAATACCTAGAAGTTAGTGCTAATAAGGCAAACAGGTTGTGAATTAATTAGTTTATTGTGTTATGGCATGTGGTTGATTGAAATGAAACTCTAACTTGAAAGTGCATACCTGAACTTTGTCTAAAAGCTTTTAGCTTAGAAACATAGAAAAATAAAAAATAGGTGCAGGAGCAGGCCGTTTGGCCCTTCGATCCTACACCACCATTCAATATGACTATGGCAAATCATGCAATTTCAATATCCCATTCTCGCTTTCTCTACATACCCCTTGATCCCTTTAGATGCAAGGGCCACTTCCAGCTCCCTCTTGAACGTATCCAATGTACTGGCCCCAACAGCTTCCTCTGGGAGAGAATTCTACGGGTTCATAACTCTCTGAGTGAAGAATTTTTTCCTCATCTCAATCCTGAATGGCTTACCCCTTATTCTTCCAGTGTACCACAGCAGGATTCACAAGAGTACTTTTAACATTTAATTGAGCATTTATTAAACAAGGAGAAAGTATGAACTACATTATATGAGACAGAAAGGTTGGAAAACTTTCCATACAAACACCAACAAAAGTATTCAAATTAATTCCATTTATTTTATAACAGCAAGATCCATATAACCAAACCACAGCGAAGATTCACCAATACCTCCACGCAAAGATTTCTAGATCAGGTTAACAAAGCCGTACACTCACTAGATATTTTTCCTCAGCTGATATATCTCTCTCTGAGACCCCTAAAACAAACTCCATTATTTAAACAGCAGAACAAACATGAGTTCCCTGAACTCAGTTTTTGATAGTACTACAGAAATTGACCCTGACAATGCCTACCTGACATCTGGATTTTTTTTTTGACCCAATGTTGCCAGCCAACAGCTCTGATGAAGAGTTATCTAGACTCAAAATGTTGGCTTCCTTTCTCTCCATGGATGCTGCCTGACCTGCTGTGATCTCCAGCATTTTTTGTTTTCAGTGCCGTTTCTCTACTGAAAACAACAAATGCTGGAGATTACAGTGGGTCAGACAGCATCCACGGAGAGACAGTAAGCTAACATTTCAAATCTAGGTTACTCTTCATCAGAGCTCTTTAATGCACTTAGCTACCAACCTCCAATCTCTTTAATTACGGAGTTGTAAGACCTTATGAAAGTGCATGTATACAAATAGGCCTCCAGACCTCCTGGCACCACACCCATAAAATAAATCTCTGAAAATGAAACTATTTCAATGTCTCTCCTTTCTCTACACAAAAATATAATGTAAGGTTATGTATAATTTTTAACAATAGATGCTGAAAATTCCCAGTAGTATTTTGTTAACAAGACGGTTAATGTTATGAAGCATAAGACGTAAAAATTATCTGCATAAGTGTTTTGCCATGAAAGGGCAGATGGTCTGTCCACACCCCCAGCAGAGCTGCAACTGATGAGAAGGTGCCATGGTATTTTTACAGATCTCACAATGCTCCACCAACTCTAGCCCAGGATTGCTGTTCAGGTTTGCTTGAAGCAAATCTTTCAACTGCTGTGTTGTTACAGGATCAGGGGAATTTATTACATCAATCACCTGGATCCTTTGTGGATCCCAAACACAGTCTTCCTCTAATCCACTGGGAACGTTTCTCATCCCACAGTTGGGAGGGACCCATGCTGTATCATATCCATGTTGTTTCCAAGTTGTTGACATAGGATGATTTTCTTTATCTATTTTCTTGACTTTTCCTACTTGTACTTTCAACATTAAAATAACTCTATCATTTGGAGTGTTAATTGGATATCTCCTGGCTTTCTCCTTGTCTCTGCTGACGTAGACCCCAGGGCCGAGCATGCCCTTGCTTGATTGCTTGAAGCCTGATTGTATGATGGACTTTGCATTGCTGACTGAGGTTCCATGGTACATGATATATTCTCTGCCATTCACTGGTTCCTGATTTGACTGCAAATGATGATTATTGTCATAAACAGTCTCCCATCCAAAAAATTGTAATGTCATCACGCCTCTAGTTCCTGGCTGTTCAAACACATGGAAATGTAGTGTTCTGTAAACAAAAAAAAACAAAAATAAATTCAGAGTAAAGAGAATGAAGTATCTGCTTGAAGATTGCTTGTTCTGGTGTTCATTTCATTTGGCTACAACTCTATCAGTGCAGTATGCCTGTGTAGGTAAATTAAATGCATTACTGAGGCTGTGAATATTTATTAAGTTTTGTATGTAGTTGTGTGTGAATGTCTGTATGAATCAGTCGATAGCACAAGTACATCCACTGCTGTGGAACAATGGCTCAAATAGCTTCCTATCTACTGTGTAATTCTTTATACGTGTGAGTGTGTGTTTGTGACAGTGATGTTACTTTTCAAAACATGTGTGTGTGACTTTATAAATGTGACTACGTTGATGGCAAACTTGTGCAACTTGACAATGTCGAAGCTATTTATGTGCAAGTGTGTGTGTGTGTGTATTGCGTATCTGCAGCAGTTAGTTTGCGGCCAATATCACATTAAATCCCAGGGTATTTATGATCTGACTGATCGCCAACAATAAATGATCAAGTTTTGACTTTTGGAAAAAGTGAATCCCAGAACCAGCTCGTCTATTTTTTAAGCATTGTCACAAACACTTGTGCAGCATTTCACATTTGCAATATCCATACCAGTTGTAGGTAAGTCCACTGTTGATCAGTGCCATGCACAGTTGGATGGGGATCCAGAATGTGCTGTATCCATGTGGTTTTCAAGTTTTTTTTTGAGCTGGGAATGATTGTGTCTCTTGCCTTACCTTGATCAAACTTTTAGCAGTTAAGTTAACTTTGGTAGTGAGTTGAGCATTTTAATTGACAGTTCATAGCTTTCTTCTTATCTCTGCTGACGGTTCTAGGGGACTGACTGAAGCCTCACTCTATTTATGTGTTAGTTTCTTTGGGTATTCATCTCTCGGGCCAACGACCTATTGTGACCCTCAGAGGTCATGGTGCCTCTTAGCAGTAATGGTGGGGAACAGCATTCCCTTAGAAAGTATTTCTTCGTTAATTTCACAGACCCAGTTCTGAAGAAGGGTCATTGACTTCGAAACTCTGCTTTCTGCTCCACAGATACTGCCAGACCCTGCTGCATTCCTACAGCAAGTTCTGTTTTTGTTTAAGATTTCCAGCATCTACAGTTATAGAGTCATACAGTCATAGAGCCATACAGCACAGAAACAGACCCTTCCATCAAACTCATCCATACCTAAACTGAACTAGTCCCATTTGCCTGTGTTTGGCCCATATCCGTCTAAACTTTTCCAATCATGTACCTGTCCAAATGTCTTTTAAATGTTGCAATTGTAATCACCTCTACCACTTCTTCTGCTGGCTCATTCTGTAAACATACCCACCGTGTGAAAAAATTGTCCCTCAGTACCCTTTTTAAATGAAGGCAAGTGGGACTAGTTTAGTTTGGGAAACATGGTCAGCATGGCATAACAAGGTGTAGAGCTGGATGAACACAGCAGGCCAAGCAGCATCAGAGGAGCAGGAAAGCTGACATTTCGGGTCTGGACCCTTCTTCAGAAATG